AAGGCTGTCAGAACCCTCGAGGCAAATTGCCCGGACTGGGAGTCCAGCAGTGCAACCGAGGTGGGGTCGAAAGCGGCGCGGAGGCGGCCGGCACTGCAGTCGTCAACAGCACGCGAGGCTGGGCGCTGCCAGCCCCGAATGGTCTCAACTGGCTCGTCCGGCTCGTCAGGGTTTGCAGGGGGGACAGGGGGATGCAAGGGTAGCTGGCCGAACGCGGGGGGTTGGAAGCCGACGTGACGGAGGACGAGGACAGCACCGGCAAGAGAGCTCAGACAACGGGGGAGTGAAGGTGCCGAAGCTGCGTCATCGAGCTGGCCAGCGATGGCGCGACAGAACTCAGGCTCACGGAGACGGAGTGCCCCAAGCGAGTCAGCCCGAGATGCGAAGTAAGCTGCAGGCGCGTGCTCGGCAGCACTGCGAAGTCCAAGCCCACCGTGCCGCAAACACAGGTGCGCACGCGCGGCTGCAAAGTGGGGCAACGGGTCGGCACCACCGAGGACGAGCTGGAGCAGCTGGGCGAGACAGCACAAGATGTTGCGGTCATGAGTGGCAGCGAAGACGGCAGTGAGCGCCGGTGGGAGCAACCGCAGGCAGTAGTGCACGCGAGGAGAAGCGCAGTACAACAAGAGCAGCCAGGAGACTTGCAAGTCGTGGATGCCGGGGAGCAACTCGAGGAGAGCACGGTGCTGCGCTGAAAGGTGTTGGAGTTGCGCAGCAACATACTCGTCCGTACCGACCGGGCTCCCAAGGACACGCAAACCACGGTCTTGTGGGGGAAGGGCGGCGTCACCGACCCAGGTGACGCACCCTTCGGGAGGAGGAGGGAGATTGGGCGGGGGGGCGCCTCCGGAATTCCAGACACGGGTTTTACCGGCATGGAGCCGGATGTGCAATGACGTGAACAAATGGTGCTCCAAGCGGGACAACACACATGCCGTGCGGGCAGGGAGGGTGGTGACATAAATGTCGTCTAAAAAAGCCCGCACGCGCTCGCCGGGGAGGAGCTCGGCTTGGAAGGAGCGGAGCGCAGGCGCGAGGCCGAGGGCGAAGAGGGCGGGCATCAGTGGGTCGCCCTGCTCGCCGCCTTCAGCTTGTGACACGAGGTGGGTGGCGCCGTCATCGTCGGACCATACGAAGGAGGACGGACGTCCATAGAACAGGCGGACGAAGGGGAGCATAGCGGCGGCGCCAGGTGTGTTTCGGAGCTCTGTCAGCATGGACTGGCGGCTTACAAGTCGAATGCGCCGATGCCATCGACAGAGAGGACAGTGCAGTGGGGGTGTGAGTCGGTTTCGAGTTGGAGACAATGGGCGAGAGCCTCAGCACCAGCACGCGTGGACAAGGCAAACTGGTGGGGGCGAGTGGCTTCATCAATGTGCTGGCTAAACTGTTGGGCCAGCGTGCGGGCGACCAGCCGGCGGAGGAAGTCACCGACAACGAGTCCCCGTACGCCGCCGGCCGGCTTGCGCACTGCGCCAGATGCGACCCGTGCGCCGGATGCGACCCGTGCGCCAGACGCTCGCTGCCGCGCGCTCCAGCGGGCCAGCTTTGTGACGGAGTGCGCTGCGGAGCTAAAAAAAGGCCGCCCAAGTTGGCGTTTGGATGCCTTCTGTGCGCCTTGCAAGTCCTGGAGTGCAGGCAGGCGCGCAAGCAACTCGTCGTGTTTGTCCCGCTTCGCAGCAGGGTGAGTCGCCCTGCGTTGGAGGCGCCGCCAAAAGCCCAGCCGGCTCCTGTCCAGCCGCCGTCAGGCACGAGTCTTCCCAAGGTGTATACCTTCATGTTGGCTATTGGCGGGACAACGAAGCCTGTGGAGTTGGAAATGTGGGAGTCGCTGAGGCGGATGCGGCTCCCCCTATCGGGGCGTGCTCAGGGGACAGGTGAGCCCTGGTTGGTTCGGGGATCCAGTCCCCAATCCACCCGGTCGTGCAAGGCCCACAGCTTTCCAGATAAGCTCGACATGTCCATGGTCCCACAATGCCTCGTGGAGTGCACAAACCTGCGGTTCGGTGGGAACGTCGGGTGCTGTTGGACCTGCTCAAGCATTGTCCGCTGGGCGAAGGGGTTCCCCGCTTTCGCCTTGCGTGATCCCTTGCTCATTTGTCAAGCTTGTAGTGCCATAGAACCGGCGGGCAGAAGGTCGGAGAGCGGGCGCGCTCCGGCCTCGCGAGTTCCAAGCATAGCCTGCCGGGATACGTGAAGGCACGGGCATCGATTTCGGCAGCCATCAAATAACTGTGTCACTATGTAGCAGAACCGCACGAAGACCCGACGGCCCGATCGCAACACCTGCATTTTGTCACAACCGTCGGCCACAACAGACCACTGTCACACCTCGTACGCACGCCTACCTGCGCACCACAGCTCTATGACGTAGCAAAAGCAAACGGATCGCAACCATCCGACAACGACTAGACTGCACACACATTGCAACCCAACGGCACAACCACTCACACCAACCGAATCGCCTCTCGACACGACAAGCACGCGTGCTTTCCCATCGAACAGGCAGTACAACCAACCACGGTTGTCACGAGCATCCCATCTGTCCACGTAACACTGGATCGCAAATCGAACACACCACCACGCCGCGCCCACGCTTTCATCGAAAACTTGCACACTGCATTGCACTCGACTGTCAGAGCAGCCTTGCGCCCGTAGATTTGGCACACCGCTATACCACGCACCCGCAAATTTCGTGGCAGCAGTGCAGCTCGATATCACGATCATGCTGCGTGCAGCAAAAATTGCACAACCATTTACAGCTTCGTCACGGCAACACACCGTGACGTCCACTTTTCAACCACGTCGCACCAGCTTCTTGGTCGAGAATTCGGCAATCACGTGCCGAACACTTGCCGTTCCAACACCTCGGCACGTCTGCATTGCACCTTCACAGCACAACCACATCACCCCACCTTCCAGTCGAAAAATTCGCAATTGGATCGCTGCTCAACTGTGTCACACCCGTGTTCCACGCATCTCGACAGCACAACTGCACTATCAGTTCGAAAGACTGCCACGACATCACATCACGCCACATCACTGTCAGGCGAGTTCGACGCCGGCCGGTAGAAGGCGGCCGTGTGGCAATGTGGGATGCAGATGCGATTCTGGCAGCAGGGTGACACGACGGCAGTGAAATGAACGTCCGCAAACTTAGCCGCAGCACCACAGTCAATCTTCCGAGGCACAGTCGGTCCCCAACCTTGCTTGGTTTTCTTGTGCCTTCTCAACGCGACTATCGTTGTCACCACTGTTACTGTTGTTGTTGTGGTGGTTGTTGTTGCTGCTGTTGTTGTTGTTGCTGTTGTTGCTGTTGTTTGGTGTTGTTGCTGTTGTGTGGTGCTGTTGTTTGGTGTTGGTGTTGGTGTTGGTGTTGGTGTTGGTGCTTGGTGTTGGTGTTGGTGTTGTTGTTGTTGTTGTTGTTGTTGTTGTTGGTGGTGGTGGTGGTGGTGGTGGTGGTGGTGGTGGTGGTGGTGGTGGTGTTGTTGTTGCTGTCGTTGCTGCTGCTGGTGTTGTTGTCATCGTTGTAGCAGTAGCAGTAGCTGCAGCCGCAGCACTAGGGGCTGAAACGGTGGTCCACATTAAAAGCTACAAGTCATGGGCCTAGGCGTTGATCTCACTTGTTGCATAGTAGCAATAGAAGCGAAGCCAATGACAGTATCCAGCAGTAGTGTTGGTGCGAGTAGTAGCTGACTAGTCCTAGCAGCACCCCAGTCACAACCCGCTGATCTCGATGAATCTCAGGAGTATATGTTTCGGCTAGGATTAGGCACTCCGTGTCATTCAGTTCGATGGTTAGCCGTCTCTGTGTCTTTCAAAGAGCCTTGTCCAATGCGGCATCGCATGTTCAAGATCCCTGCTGATGCGAGTTCCTGCGCTTCTTGTGGGTGGCACCGGATCGTCAGCGACTGCCTTGCTACCGGCCGACTGAAAGTCGCAGGATCACAGCACTACGTAATCTATGCCGACGTCAAGAACTGAAGCTTGGCTGATGTATACAGGTTGTCTTATGTGATGCCGTGGTTGGGATCAATCCGCCAGGTTCCACAACACAAGACTTGTCGAGATCAAACCAGCTTCAAGCATAAGCTTGGCACCCAGAAGGAACGCGGGCGGACTCTCGACATAGTCTCACGACTGTCCACATCTTGCAATTCTCTCTTCGTGGGGTGATTGCTGGGGGGCCTGAGATTCCGGGATGAGTTCGGGTCGGCGAAAAAAACGGAGGACAATCACCATGCCATGACCGCACCTATTGAGATTCCCGCCGCCTTCTGTCTCACCTGCAGCCGGAAGCCTGGCTTCGCATGTCTCCTGGCGCCTCCAAACAAGCTGGACTACATCAGTCGCGGTCCCAATCCAATCAGTGTGACACCCGCCTTGCGGGTTTGCTTGCAGACAGTAGGCAGCCGCTGCCCCCAGCAGGATGCCTCAGGCCACAAGCTTTGTCACATCCCAACACGAAAGCCTTTCTGAGCACCCCGCTGCGAGGTTGCTGGCCCTGGTGGCAAGGTTCGCGATGCTGTGGTGGATCCTGTCGCCTGGCACAAAAAGGCAGCACTCCGGTCACTCCCACAAGCTGTTCCACTCGGCCCGGCACCTGAACGCCTCAGGCCAGGAATGCCATGTTCGAGCACCAAGGCATGCCATGAACTACAAGTCAGAGAATGCCAGTGCACTGTGGGCATCAAGATGCCATCATGCACGATCATGAATCTCATGGCAACTACGCGACGCAGCTACGCCTGGGATCCGATGCAAAGTCTGCGACTTCATGATCAGAAGTTGGCTGATGAGGCGTCGGTGCCAGCACTCACGTGATCGAGAAATCTCCTCTCTTTGTTTCACTAGCCCGGGGCCGATCGGAGCCTTCATCGCTTTGCTGGCCTGCCTCAATTCGGGTGGCCGGCATACTTTGGCGACTCTGTCTCACGGAGAGAATGATGCGATCTTGGAGGCCCCATGAAGCTTTCTTGTGCTCGAGCCGTGCTTCGGCCCTCGCCACGGAAGGCCTCGCTGGAGTCAGCTCTTTGGCTGAGTTTCAAACATGGGCTACTGCTACTTCTGATTGGAGTGATGCCGGACATCTGAAGTGCTCGCAAAAGGCTTTGTGAGCCGTAGGTGCGGCGCAAGCTACTTTGGCTTGTCCTGTCTGCGCCAGGGCTGTGCAGTCTCCTACTGTCAGGCTTCCTCCCGGCCTGCTTGCGCGACTCCGTTCGCTTCTGCTTGCCATGCTGAAGGTCTCTTCGGAAAGCTGAATGAACTTGACCATAAGGCTCAGTTCGAGGAGTTTCCAGGCGTCCAGCAGTCCAAGGATCCCGGAGTGGATGCACTCTCGCACGCGTTGCCGCAGGCCACTCGGGCGACTCAGGAACCAGCCGCACACGGAGTATGCTTGGCAAGGCTGCGACGTGCACGGGCGGCGAGATGGGCACCCGTCGCTGTCTTGGGCGCTTGCTGGGGGGCTCTAGCCTCGCTGTGCTGGCACTGGGAACATCTCCTCTGCTTGACCGTGGCCGCACTCTGGGGATCGGCGCCAGTGGAGGAGTCGGATCCGGTGGCAGGTCTGCCTGCTCGCGCGTCTCTGGAGGGCACCCGGCGAAAGGCGTCTCCTTGGGACGCCGCAGGGTCGCCAAAGTGAGGCTGGCCTCCGAGCGCAAGACTCGCCTGGAGCAGCTCTGCACGGCCCCTGCCGAAAACTCTGGGACGAGGCGAGTCCGCGGAGCGCTGGAAGCAGCGCGCCGGAAAGGAGGAAGAGCTGCGCTGCTGGCACTGCTGGGACCCAGCGGTGCGCGCTCCGGAACCCGCAGGCTGGCCATGCTGCGAATGCTCAGCCAGGCGATCGGCACGGCCGGCACGGGCTGCTGGCTCGCCGCTCCGCGGCCGATTCGCAGCTGCGGGTGTTGGCTTGTCGCACCGGGCTGTGCCCAGACCAACTCAGGGAGTGGAGGAATTGGCCATGGAGCCTTGCACAGCCTTGGTCCTCTAGTCCTCACAGGCGGCCACACTGGTGACTCCGGTACCAACTGTATCCGCGGCTCGCTGCGAGCTGCAAGCTTGCCAACCTGGACACCATTGAAGGAAGAGTCCCTCACGCCAGATCGCAGTCGGATGCTGATCCGAGCACCCGAACGAACCGAGGGCGCTGGAGGCGATGCGATTGACAGGACAGGAAGCGTCAGCAGCACCCAGGACGTCACGCATGGCCGTGAGGGATCCATTGGCTGAGGTGCTTTGGACATCAAGGGTTCCTGGATCGTGACTGGCACGACAACTGCCCTGTACAAGTGGTATCGGAAACAGACGATAGAAACGGGCAGCACAAAAACTGCCACGAAGATTGCAAGAATCCATAGAACCCATTCTGGAACCTCTGGATAAGGCACTGCCACCCATCCGCCTGTGGCAGTTGTAGTGGTCATGGTGAGCGAACTTGTCGTGATTGAAGTATGCGTACTTGAAGTGTCGGTCAAGGTCGTCTGCGTCCCTGAAGTGCTGCTGCCTGTGAGAGATGTGCTCGATGTGGAAGTGAAACTCGTGGCGGTGGCGGTGCTGGATGTTACGGTGCTGGAGCTGCTGCTTGAGGTAGCACTAGTGCTTGAAGTGGAAGTGTGGGTCGTGGCGCTCGTAGTGCTCCATGTTGCGGTGTTTGTGGTGCTCCAGCTTGATGTCGTGGAGCTGCTGCTGGTGCTGCTTGACGTCGTGGAGCTGCTGCTGG